TTTTTAAGATGTATAAATGATCTCAATGGACAATGGACCAAAGAAGGTTTAAGAATAGTGAACAAGAACAAGACAAATTAACATTATTAAGGCCGGCGCCGCGGCTCATTAGGCTAATCCTCCGCCTAGCGGCGCCGGCACACCGGGTTCTAGTCCCGGTCGGGGCGCCGGATTCTGTCCCGGTGCCCCTCTTCCAGGCCAGCCCTCTGCTGTGGCCAGGGAGTGCAGTGGAGGATGGCCCAGGTGCTTGGGCCCTGCACCCCATGGGAGACCAGGAAAAGCACCTGGCTCCTGGCTCCTGCCATCGGATCAGCGCGGTGCGCCGGCCGCAGCGCGCCGGCCGCGGCGGCCATTGGAGGGTGAACCAACGGCAAAGGAAGACCTTCTCTCTGTCTCTCTCTCTCACTGTCCACTCTGCCTGTCAAAAAAAAAAAAAAAAACATTATTAGTCAGTGGGCCAAGTGAAATTAAAAACCTAAGATACCTATAAATAAGTTAGAAAGCTATAGACTGACCAGACCCAGTGTCAGTGAGGAGAGGAAATGAGCTGCTCAGAGACTGTTGTTGGCAATGTAAAATGGTAGGACTACTTTGGGAATCATTTGGTATCTTCTTCGAAAGGTAAACACACAAATACCATAGGATCCATATGCTGTATCTCCCAAGAGAAGTAAAAGCACATTTATATCCACAGAAACTTCACTTATAACAGGTCCAAACAGGAAATAACCCATAAGTCTATTAATGGCTGAATGGAGTCCATTCATCAAATGGAATTCTACTCAGCAATAAAAAGGAATGAATAATTGATATGGATTGCAGTACGGACTAATCTCAAAATAATTATGCTGAGTGTGAGAATCCTGACAAAGAAGAATGCTTACTATATGATATTATATAAAGTTTTAAGAAATTCTAACCAACAAATAATGGTAGAAGGATCAATTGTTGACTGAGGTAACAGAAAGGGTTTTGTAGAAGGAAGAGATTGCAAACAGACATGAGAAATCTGAGGTGATGGATTGTTCAGTACCTTGATTGTGGTGATGGTTCCAAAGGTATATATTAACATCAAGACATACACACTTTCTACATGTCACACCGTATTGCATATCAATTACACATCATAGAATGGTTTTTTAAAGAGAAAGGAGGAGCTGGCATTGTGGCACAGCAGGTTAAGTTGCTGACTGCAAGGACAGAGCGCCAGTTCCAGCTCTGTGTCTGCTCTGCTTCCCATCTTGCTCCCTGCTAATGCACCTGGGAAAGCAGCAAATGATGTCCCAAATGCTTAGGAGTCTACCAGCCATATGGGAGACCCAAATGGAGTTCCAGGTACCTGGCATTTGTCTGGCCCAGCCCTGACACCATTGCAGACATATGGGGAATGAATCAGCCCATGGAATATCTATCTCTGTTTCTCCCTCTCTCTCTGTCACTCTTGAAATAAATCTTCTAAGAAAGAGAGGAATACTAATTTATAGTTAAAAAATTTGGATATTTGGTAAGTACTTTTTTTAAAAAATGAAAAAATGAGCTTGACACTTAGAGAAAGAAAATAGTGATAAAATTCCAAACTTGCAGCCGGTGTTGTGGTATAGCAGGTTAAGTCATTGGCATCCCATGTGGATGCCGGTTTGAGTCCCAGCTGCTCCACTTCCAATCCAGCTCCCTGTTAATGTGCCTGGGAAAGCAGTGGAAGATGACTCAAATGCTTGGGCCCCTGCACCAGGTGGGAGACCCAGAAGAAGCTCTTGGCTTCTGGTTTTGGCCTGGCCCGGCTCTGGCCATTGTGGCCATTTGGGGAGTGAACCAGTGGATGTATGATTTTCTCTCTCTCTCTCTGAGACTCTGGCTTTCAAATAAATAAAAGCAAAACAAATAAACAAACAAAAAAACAAAAAACAACTCCAAGCCTTCAAATGAAAATTAAATTTTTGGAAAACATGAACAATCTACCACCATGAACTTGACTAGTTTTTTTTTTCCCTATTACTTTTCTGATGAGATAAGTTATGACATTAATGAATGTGATCTTTTGATAATGTACAATGAATTTTGTCACTATTTATCATTATCTGCATAACCTGGTGACCTGACATTTTCCAAACGACTGAAGCATGATGCTACAAAAATCATACATGGGTGAAAATGCAAACTCAAACAATGGGCTTAACGTAACGGAGGATAAAAAGCTCACAACTATGCATTGTCACATTGTACAATTGTCCTTAAAACAGGCCAGCCTAATGTCATCATATAGGCTCTTTTAAGAGCACAGAGTTCTCTTACAACTGATAAGATAAGAGAAGTCAAGAAATTCAACACGCATGAAATATTTGAAGATGGGAGAGACCAGGTGAAAAGGAATGTCGGCAACAAGGTTGAAGGAGCTGAGAGACACCCACAGCTGACAGCAAGTGAAGAAATGGGAATCTCAGATTTATAGCTGCAAGAAAGGGATTTTGATAAGAAGTAAATTAGCCTGGTAGTGGATTCCTCCCCAGAGCATCCAGGAATGAGTTCTAGATGGATATTACGAATTTGTCTTTGTGAGACTGTGAGCAGAGAATCAAGTGAAACCTACCTTAACTTCTTTTTTTTTTCCTCCTACCTTAACTTACGACCTACACAACTGTGATGCAATAAACAAGAGTTACTGAAAGCCAACTTATGGTGATCATGTATGATGTTGCAATAGAAAACTGATATATTTACCATAAATCAAATTATATTTAAGCTTGGTTCCAAAATTCTTACTGCTCAATTTTCTCTAATTCTAAATGATTTATACATTGACTCCAAAGTGATTCTTTGAGCATTGCTTGTTAAATAAACAAATAATAAAAATGGAAACAACTAACGTATCCTGAAATAAAGAATTGGTTGGGTAAACTATGTAAATCCACAAAATAGAATACTCTGTAGCCACTAGAAAGAAAAGGTATAAAGTATAAAGATGGCTATGAAAAAAATGAAACCCTCATAAATTACACAATAAGAGAAAAAAGCAAGATCTGAAATGATGTTTTACTATTCTCCTAACTAAATTTAAAAGATTTACATAAAACCAAGTTGCCTACATTAAACAACTTACTGGAAAAAAAAAGCCTGTAAATAGAAATCAGCTTTGGCATATAATTAGACTGTTGGATGGACGGTTTTCATTTTTAAATTTTCTCCTTTTATAGCTGTTTGAATTTTAAATAATGTTTATTATTCCAATTTACTTGAAAACTATCAACAGAGGTTAGGAGTTACTGTCTTGATAGACATGTGTCTGGTTCTCATACTAAGCTATCTCTTTTGCTTTATTTGACTTAGACTTTGCAATTTCTTTTTTTTTTTTATTTTTTATTTTTTGACAGGCAGAGTGGACAGTGAGAGAGAGAGACAGAGAGAAAGGTCTTCCTTTGCCGTTGGTTCACCCTCCAATGGCCGCCGCGGCCGGCGTGCTGCGGCCGGCGCACCGCGCTGATCCAATGGCAGGAGCCAGGAGCCAGGTGCTTATCCTGGTCTCCCATGGGAGCGACCCACAGTAAGATGAAAATCATTTTTCCTTATCAAATCTGCCCCACTCCCCAAATCTCAGTTTCTCAGTGGTATTCCTTATTAACCAACGACTTCATTTGCACTTATGTAAAAGTTAATATGTATTTATAATATTTATACATTCTAGTTTAATTGCAATTATAAAGATATAGTTGGTTTTAAATTTTTGGACTGAACCCCTTTTATCTTTTATTTACTATACTGAAATCTACTTTATGATAATGATCATAAATGGTGCCAACCTCTCAAACACACAATTTACCTAACATATACGATCCTACCTTCAAAAGGATGAAGATATGATCTAGATATCGTGCAGTTTATGGTAATATTAAGAGTATTCCAATAACAAGCAAAATGGTATGATAAAACATGATCAATAATCCTATATAGTGGAAGAATTATGCAGATAGTACGTAATGGGAAATCTATGTTAGGCTTATCTAATATATATATATTTTTTTTTTGGTTCACTTCTTTTTTTTTAACTTTTATTTAATGAATATAAATTTCCAAATATCTAATATATTTTAATTGAAGTAAAAATATTTCACATTTCTTTACATTTCTTCTTTTAAAACAATCAATTGTTAGAGGTAAAGCAAATCACCATCAGCTATTAAATATATTTGTAAAACTTATCAAGTCAAATTTCACTTCTGATTGCATTTTCTGCAACAGGAAGGTAGACAACAGCAACAACAACAACAAAGTTAAAAACATGTTGTAACAGTTCAGAAAGAAGTATCCGGACAAATTCCTGGACAGATTGTCTTTGCGTTTGTTCACATATGAAGTTCATAGATCACAAGCAACTCAAAGCACCATAACATTACTAAATGAGGGTCCTTTTACAAACTTATTTAAAATGGAATTAAATATAAATTTATCCTCATGCAAAAAACTTTGAAATTTATGCATAGTTTTTGTCAAACTACACATTTTCATAATGTCTCCTTTCAAAAAGTTCATGGAAAGTATATTATTGAAGAATTATGCATGGATTTAAAAATCTTTGTAATAAAATATACTTACCTTCTAAGTTCATTTTTCCACAACTTTCTTGAAGTACCTTCACATAACCATCGAAAAAGATATACGATGAAAAATGATACACAATGAACTCAGTACTATCACTGTTCTAAAGTCAAATTAAGTAGACTTTTTTTTTTAAACAGATTCTTGCACATAAACATAATTGAATTCCATGTGCGGCTACATTCTAATAATAAATCTCTCAAAAAAATATTGGCTGACATTTTCCAGAAAACAGCAAAGTATTATAGCCTATAAAAATATTGAGTGTATATACAAGCTTTTTGTTATCAGGAAAATGTTAAACAAAATCCTTGGAAACTTTACAAGGAGAAATCAAAAAGATTGAACATATAAAAGTAATAAAACAGAATATTAAAATGTCATCAAGCAAGCCTCTCAAATCACATTACCTGGAACCAGTTCCATAATGATGTAGACAGGCTGTCTTTGTGTGCAGACTCCTATAAGCTTGACAATATTGGGATGATCATATTGCTTGAGAATTCTAGATGAGAGAAAATTTCAAGAATAGTTATGATCTGAATAATAAATTAATGTATGATCATGAATGGCATATATGGCTAGAATGCAGTTGAATTAAAATAAATTCATGAAATTTCAGTGTAACCCAAATTATGATAAATGAGATAAATTCAAACAAGTATTGATAAATATTCGTAATATGACATAGTGAAAATGAATTGATTCTCATTTAAGTCACTGAAATATTCACTTAAAGATCATCTACTCTGAAACTTTCTTTTTTTTTTAGACAGGCAGAGTTAGACAGTGAGAGAGAGAGACAGAGAGATCTACTCTGAAACTTTAAGAACTATGCTAAATAAGAGCTTAGTCTGTTCAAAACATGTAGAATTCCCTTTCAAATTATCTAGTTTTATCCACCACTACAAAAATATGACTGGAAACTATTAGTGGGCCAAAAACTGTGAGCTGCTAGAGTAGTATTTTGTTTTTTATGTGCATACTCGATTTTAAAACACGTAACGAGAAATCACCTCATACTGCTAAATGCTACTGGTAATCATTCCATTAGATTTCCCAATAGTTTCTTGATGGTTATGATCAATTTTAAAGTAGAAAAAATACACAAGCCTTGCAAAAAGCTAAAAAATAATTACATAACAGGATTTCAACATAGACTTAAGCTGAAGCAAAGCATATATAGTTTGGATAAAGCAGAACTTCATGAGAAGATTATAAAAGTAGAATAGACTGTGGGAGGCAGAATCCGTCTCCTGAGGAAGGCGAAGCCCGCCTCCCATAATATGGCGCTGATAAGGAGTAACCAGCTTTTACACAGCTGATTCATCTTGACTACTAGAAGCCACAAGAGCCGATTCATCCTCTCAGTAGAAGAGAAGGGCATGCTCGACACATGGACAAGCGGAGCAGGGATTGGTGGAGAGGACTATAAAGGAGAAGAGAGAGGGCACGGTGGGGTGGGTTGGTTGGAGAGTGCGTTGGAGAGTTCGCTGCTTCATTCTTATTTCTACTCATTCTTACTTTACTATAGAAAAGACTTGTAAAAAAAGGGAACAAGAAGCGTCCGGTCCGGTGCGGCTCCTCCACGTGCGGAGGACCAGCAAATGGTGCCGTGACTCGGATCCAGATGGGGGGAAGAAGCTGGAAAATACTGGAGAGAGAATAAGGAGAGCCTAGGAAAAAAGCTGGATGGAAAGTGCCGGGGAGAAGCTAGCGAGAACCCAGGCAAAAAACCACGAGGGAAGAAAAATAGAAGCTAGGAAAGAGGCATTTACTGGGGACGCCCGGGAGACTCGGTCTTCCACTACACCCGCCGCTCCAACATGTCACGGACGGTACAGACAGTGGAGTTCTTTGGCTACTCCTTGCCCACTGGCTACGTCTTCTTCCTCATACTGGGCACCATCCTCTATTTCTCCCTAAAGATCATCCGTTATGGGCTGAATGTGGTTCCTCTCTCTCTCTCCCTGCTCCCCACCTCCTCGCAGCTTTTCTTCTAAGCGAGGGAAACGAGGAGGGGGAAATTTCGCGCATTCGTAAGAGCAGTCTCAGAGACTTCCCCCTGGTTTCTACAGCAGTGGAGACAGGTGGGATGGCAATTGCACGCAGCTGGGGAATCGATAGAAGTGCTAAGGCTGTGGCAACTCATTGATCAAACGCTTCAGGACCCCATGGAAGGGATCGAATTATTGCTTAATGAGGGGAGTGAGTTGCAGAAAGAACTATGGCAGGGCAGCCAGGCGAGCAGCTATTGTAACGAACAAGTGAGAAAAAAATCAAAGAAGGACTTAGAAAGCCAGGAAGCTTACGGGGAGTGGGGGGGGGAGGAAGCTGAAGAGGGAACCTCACCCTCGAGAGAGATGCCAAGAATATATCCTGGCCCTACAAGGCTGGCAAATTCAACCATAAAGGATGAATCGCCACCCCGGTATCGCCCATTAGTACTGCCAAAGTTTCCTCCTGTAAAGAAAAGCCCTTTTTTTTTTACCAGATTGAAGAAGAGTGGGAGGAGGAAGAAGGAGCGATGGAGGGAGTAGGAATGCAGGAAGAGATAGAAAGGCCAAGAACCAAAAGCAAGCAAAGGGGAGCTGTTTATAAAAAACCTGCTTGGGAGCAATACCAGGAACCAGGCCAGGTGTTCCCTGTAATTCAAGATCAGCAAGGAAATAGGGGTTGGACGCCTCTTGATCACAAATTACTTAAAGAATTGAAACAATCAGTACAACTGTATGGTCCCCATGCAAGTTTCACACAGGCAATCCTTGATAACATAGGACAGCAAGGCCTGATACCTGAGGATTGGAGGAACTTAGTAAAGGTGGTGTTAGGCGGGGGTGACTTCCTCTTATGGTTAGCTGCTTATAGAGAATTTGCTCGGGAATATTCAAAGCAGAACTATAGAGCAGGGAATCAAACATGGGATGAGGAAATGTTAAATGGAGAAGGGCAATTTGCCAATCCCAGTGATCAGGCCCGACTACCAACAGCTGTCCTTTTACAAGTAAGATAGCAAGAAGAGCCTGGAAGGTGGTACCCAGAAAAGGTGAGATAAGACACAGCTTGACTAAGATAGTGCAGGGCTCTACCGAACCTTACACTGACTTCGTGAACAGATTAATGGAAGCAGCAGGAAATATTTTTGAAACTGTGGAGGAAGCTATGCCCTTAGTCAGAAGATTGGCTATGAACAGGCAAATAAAACATGTCGTGAAGCTCTTAGACCATGGCAGCATAAGGACATCCCTACCTTTTTGAAAATCTGTAGGGATGTCATGGATGATGTGCCTTCTGGATCACATGCTGCAGTAGCAATGACCCGACAATTTAGACGAGATATGAAGGGATGAAAATGTTTTAAATGTGGTAGAGAAGGACATTTAATGATGGAATGTAGGGTGAAATTTCTAGCCCAAGACCAGCAGGGCATGGAGAACTCGAGAAGACCAGGCCTTTGCCCACGCTGTAGAAGAGGGAACCATTGGGTCAGTGAATGTTACTCTAAAATGCATAGGGCAGGCAATCCCCTGAGGGTGCCAAATGAGCTGGGCCCCATAAAAAGACCAGGTGTATATGGACAACAATCAAAAAACGGAATGTGTGCCCCTGCACCCCGGGGCCAAAACAATTGGTGGGTGCCACGGTCCCAACAATACAGAAACCAAGTATTTACTGCTCAGAGTTACGAGCCACCGGGTATTCGGTACTAACACCTCAAATGGGAGCACAAGCCATAGAGGTGATAGCAGAAACAATTTTGGCCGGGCAGAAGGGACTTGGAATAATTATAGGAAAGGCAACAAATGCTTTAAGAGGTCTAATGGTCATTACCGGGGTTGTCCAATTACCCTTTGATAAGTTAAAGGTGTTGCTACAATCCACAAAGGGCATTGTACAAATTAAGCCAGAAGAACCAGTGGCTCAGATGCTGATTATGACTGGAGCACAGGATGTTCGTGGACCCCAAGGGGAGAAATTTGCAGCCTTATCCATGTCTTTAGCAGATCGACCCCTGTGGACCTTTAACCATTAGAGGAAAGTCAATTCAGGCCTGCTAGATACGGGCACAGATGTAAGTATAATTTCGGAAAATGATTAGCCGAAGTCATGGCCCCTTCAGCCAGGAGATAATACTTTAGTAGGCCTAGGTACGGCCATGACACCATCAAGGAGTGCTCAGGTGCTTTGTTGGGAGGATCAAGAAGGGAACAAGGGAAATGTGCAACCTTATGTTAGTGCACTCCCCATCACATTATGGGGAAAGAGACATTTTGGAACAAATGGGACTGACATTAACCAATGAGGACCAGTTAGAGAGTTCCCCAGGACGGCGTATTATGTATAAAAAGGGGTATCAGGAGAGAGGATTAGGCTCCAGAGGAGAAGGCAGAAGGGACCTAGCCCAGCCCAAAGACGACTTTAAAAGACAGGACATGGGTTTTTCGTGGGGGCCACTGAGATGCAGCCGCTGCCATTGTCATGGCTGGACAACAAGTCAAAGTGGATACAAAGCTGGCTGCGGTAAATGATATAGTGTTACAACAATTAGAGGCAGGCCATTTGCAACCATCAACCTCCCCATGGAATATGCCAATATTCGTGATAAAGAAAAAAATCGGAAATACCGGTTGTTGCATGATTTACGGGCTGTTAATCAGCAGATGCAACCCATGAGGGCATTACAACCCAGACTTCCGGTTCCTACTATGATCCCAAAGCATTGGCCATTAATAGTACTCGATCTGAAGGACTGCTTTTTTAGCATACCTTTACATGAACAAGACACTCAGAGATTTGCTTTCACCGTACCTTCCATTAATCATCAAGGTCCCGACAAAAGATATGAATGGAAAGTGCTTCCCCAAGGAATGACTAACAGTCCTGCCATATGCCAGCTATATGTTGATCAGGCAGTGGAGCCGGTTCGACAACAGTGCCCAGAGTACAAATTTTACATTACATGGATGACCTGTTAATAACGGCTAAAAGTGAAAGTCACCTTATGGAAGCATATAAGCTGCTGCTATTATATTTGGAAAAAGTTGGGTTACAAGTAGCGCCAGAGAAGATACCAAAAGGGGAAGTAGTACAGTACTTAGGGCTTAAAGTAACTTCTGAAAAGGTGACTCCATTAGAATTTGAAATTGCAATAGATGGGTTGCAGACCCTTAATGATTTCCAAAAATTATGTGGCAATTTAAATTGGTTGAGGCCCTATTGTAAATTAACCACCAAAGATATGATGCCATTATTTAATATTTTAGAGGAAGATGCCCAGCTTGATTCCCCTCGTAGATTGACAAAAGAAGCCCGCTTGACGTTACAGAAAATCGAAAAACAAATTAAAGCAATGCAGATGGAAAGATGTGATTTACAACAAGCCCTAGAAATATTAATTTTTACGGAACAGCTGTATCCCTTCGCAGTCATTTGGCAAGGAGGACCCTTGCTGTTCGTATACCCACATTCACATGCACCGCGTGTACTATACACCCAAGGCATTGCGGTGGCTGATTTGATATTAACAGCAATAAAAAAGGCGACAGAAATTGCAGAGAAGACTCCAAAGCGATGTGTAGTTCCCTTTGCTCAAGAGGCAGTAGAAGCCTTTACAAGGGAATGCTGGCAGTGGGCATACATAGTTCTCATTTTACAAAGAGATTGGCCATCCATTTGTTAACTTCTGCACACAGGTTTCAATAAAACGGGTGCAGAAGGTGCGAAGGGATCCAATTCAAGGGGCAGTTACCGTATTTACGGATGGAGCTAAAGGTGGAACAGGAGCAGCTATACTTGACAATCAATGATATTTTGTTTTAACAGCATCCCCTTCTCCACAACATGCAGAATTAGCCATTATCGCGACAGTATTACGCAGAGAAAGCACACCCATGAATATTTTGTCTGATAGCGCATATGTGGTGAATGCAGTTCAGATGCTCGCTACACCGTGCCTTATTCTTAAATCCTCCTCAGTCTATTCTTAAGTGAAATTCAGGGGTTATTAAATCAGAGAGCATGCTATTTACATAGGCCACATAAGAGCACATTCCAATTTACCCAGCGCACTTACTCAAGGTAACATGATGGCCGATCATCATTCAAGATTCTTGCTTGCATGCACCGCTTTGGAACAAGCTAAAGAATATCACTCTAAATGGCATGTTAACACCCACACTTTAAGTTTTAAATTTAATATTCCCCGCAAGCAAGCAGAAGGTATTATTAGGTCCTGCGAAAAGTGCATTGTTGCCATAGTTCCAAAGATTCCTGCAGGAGCCAATCCCCGTGGCCTTAAACGAGGACATATCTGGCAGATGGACGTTACACATATTCCTTCTTTTGGGCGACAAAGCTGTGTTCATGTCACTGTAGATAAATATTCAGGTGTAGTTATGGCCACAGCTATGAATAAAGGAGTACAACAAGTAATCCAACACTGCTTGCAGGCTTTTGCAGCCTGGGGAGTTCCTCATGTGATCAAAATGGATAACGGCCCAGCATATACATCAGCTCGTTTTGCTGCATTTTTTAAAGAATTTGAAATCTCCCATATTACTGGTATTCCATATAATCCACAGGGGCAAGCTGTGGTAGAACGCACTCACTTACATTTAAAAAATTTAAATTAAACAAAAAGGGGGAATAGGGGAAATGGCCGCATCCAATAAGGATGCTTTGGCCTTAGCTCTTTATACAATTAATTTTTTGAACAAGAAGAACGGCAAAACACCTGCAGAAATGCATGCTCAATCAGCTGATAAGGAATCAATACAGTGGGTAATGTGGAAGGATTTACAGGATAACCAATGGAAAGGCCCGTTCCCTTTACTCAGAAGGGTACGAGGCGCCGTTTGTTTTTTTTCCGCAGGGTGCAGCACAACCAATATGGACCCCCGAGAGAATTCGCTTGGTGAACCTACCAGCGGAGGAGCTAGAAGAAAAAAATCCATTTGAGGAAGGAAACAATGAATAACCAATCCCTGGGATCCTTGGAATATGGGACATTTTCAACGAACCCTGAAGTACCATGATAAACAAGACAGTCAATAGCATGAAGATGACACCGAACTTCATACAGGCTGCGAATGTGTAATGTTGAAGCTGCTTCAACGACAATGGCAGTCAGAGGTTGTCATCAAACAGGTGATGAGCATGTTGAATCGATAGTCAAAAGACGGGTAAGCACCTGCGGACAACTCGGGCAGCCTAAAACAGAGGACAGGACATGCTTCCTGTATCCTTGATGGCGGGTGAGCAAAGTGTGCGCCGCGGGGCGCACCGGACAGGCACGTATCCACGCCTTAAAAAATAAAAAGAAGGGGGATCTGTGGGAGGCAGAATCCGTCTCCTGAGGAAGGCGAAGCCCGCCTCCCATAATATGGCGCTGATAAGGAGTAACCAGCTTTTACACAGCTGATTCATCTTGGCTACTAGAAGCCACAGGAGCCGATTCATCTTCTCAGTAGAAGAGAACCGCAAGCTCGACAGGTGGACAAGTGGAGCACGGATTGGTGGAGAGGACTATAAAGGAGAAGAGAGACGAGAGAGGGCACGGTGGGGTGGGTTGGTTGGAGAGTGCGTTGGAGAGTTTGCGGGGAAGTTCGTTGCTTCGTTCTTATTTCTCTCTGCTCATTCTTGCTTTGGGAGTTGGCTGTTTGCTCATTCTTACTTTACTATAGAAAAGACTTGTAAAAAAAGGGAACAACAAGCGTCCGGTCCAGTGCAGCTCCTCCACGTGCGGAGGAGCAACAATAGACTCATTTATAGGATCCCAAAGATGAGCTAACATTAGGCCAGACTGCTGCGGAGGTCTGTCTCCCTGGATTATTTACTAAATGTTATACCTTATTGTCCTATTGATAAGGTTATAAATCCACTCACATTTAAACATGGCAGTATTCTTTACTAAGACAACACAAAAACAACTTAAGAGAAAATTTATATGTTTTATACATGTACAGCTAAACTAAGGATAGATCTAAGGACAACATTTTAGAAAAATAAAGTGATTTATAAATGAGAAGATAGACTAGGAAGAATTCTAGAGCTAAGGGAAGTAGTCTGTGAGTGAGCTTATAACTTTTACTAGTATTTAAAAAGAAAGTTTTAAAAATGTTTGACTTTAATCTAAAATGTCATTTCTTAGCCTGAAAGTCTGAAAGTGCTTTACAGTGAAATGGCACAACACAGCCTGTATGAACTTAAATAACATTAAATGTCTAAAAAGAAAATTAAACTCTTTACAATTAAGCAATCACATAGTAACCAAGAAATTTAAGTATTTTTGAAAATCATGTTAGAAACAGCCTTTTACCTAAACCACCTATGAATAAAATAATGCAACTATAATTTCAGTTTTGATAGCATGGCTTTTACTTATCATGAGAATTTATTCTGAAGACTTACAACTTTCTTTTATAGATAAAATTTAAAAGGGGCTGGCATTGTGGTGTAGCAAGTTAAGCCATTGCCTGCAGTTCTGGCATCCCATGTGTGCCAGTCCACTTCTAATTCAGCTCCCTGCTAATGTGCCTGTGGAAAGCAGTGGAGACAGCCCAAGTGCTTAGGTCCCTGTACCCATGTGGGAGACCCAGAAGAATATCCTGGCTCCTGGCTTCATATTGGCTCAGCTGCGGGTGTTGCAGTCACTTAGGGAGTGAACCAGCAGATGGAAGGCCTCTGTATCTCTCTCTCCTTCTCTCTCTGTAAATCTGCCTTGCAAATAAATAAAAATAAAAATAAATCTTTAAAAAAACCCATTCAATCAATGTACCTGACTACATGAATCCACTGCCATCAATATACGTTTTTAGATGATGAATGGAGAAATGTACATTAAGATGCTCTGTGGCATGTGACTAATTCTCTTGTTGCCATCTTCTCTGTTCTCCATTAGTGCTTTCTCTTGATAACATGAAATCTACGGATCCACGTATGTTCCTCCTCTCACATCCATCCATCAATGCACCCATCAATCCATCCACCTTCCACACATGTCCATCAGCTTATACTGTCCAAGGTACCATTCCCTTTGTCTTTTGTTTTTTGTATATACTCAATTTTACCGCTAACAATATGGTTTTAACTATCTGCAATGTAGGGACAGCAAGGTGGAACATTAAACTTTAGCTAATAATAGCAAAAAGAGAAGAAAATCATCTCAGAAGATCAATTAGAAAAGGAAGAATATGCAAATGTTGGAGCAAATGCCAGACTCTATGCTGAAGAAGAAATCTGACATTCTCATAATAGAAGCTAACAGTTGGGAAAAGCGAACCAAAGTGATAATATCCAAGGAGGATAGGAGAGGTGTAATCCTATATCTAAATGTATATTCATATGCATGGATTTCAAAAACTTTTGCACCAAAATAAATTTATTTTTAAATCTATTTTCCTTAAACGTTTTGAAGTAACCTTGCAAAATTGTTATATATATACAATAATATCTTATTATAAAGAAAATAACACTGTATATATACATATAGGGTTTTTTTTAAGATTATATTTATTTATTTGAAAAGCAGAGTTACAGAAAGGCAGAGGCAGAGAGAGAGGTCTTCCATTTGCTGGTCACTCTCCAAATGGCCGCAATAGCTGGAGCTGAGTCAACCCAAAGCCAGGAGCCTGGAGTTTCTTCTGGATTTCCCATGTGGATACAGGGGCCCAAGGACTTAGGCCACTTTCTGCTGTTTTCCCAGGCCCATTAGCAGGGAGCTGGTTTGAAAGTAGAACAGCCGAGACTTGAACTGGTGCTCATATGGGATGCCAGGCGATGACTTTTTACCTGCTATGCTATAGTGCCAGCCCTCACAGGTTTATTTTTTTTGTTTTGTTTTTTGTTTTAAAGATTTATTCATTTATTTGAAAGTCAGAGTTACAGAGATGGGGAGGGAGAGAGATCTTTATCCACTGCTTCATTCCCCAGATGGCTGCAATGGCCAACTCTGAACCAGGCCAAAGCCAGGAGCCAGAAGCTTCTTCCAGGTCTCTCATGAGGGTAGCAGGGACCCAAACACCTGGGTCACCTTTCACTACTTTTGTCAGGCCATTAGCAGGGAGCTGGACTGGAAGTGGAGCATGTAGGACATGAACTGGTGCCCATCTGTGATGCTGGCGTTGAAGGCGGTGGCTTTACCCGCTAAGCCTCAAGGCCAATCCCATATAAATATAGTTTTAAATACATGTGATAAAAACATTGTAATATTTATTAATGAACACTAACTACTGTTTAGGACTGTTGGTTCTTTGATTGTCTAACTGACTGCAGTCTACCTTAACAGCAGAAACTTTTGTTTCCATGTTGTAAAAGGGCTTACTAATGAGGGTTCTGAAAGTGCTTACTTCTACTTCAGCAAATCACAAGTTTTCTTCACACTTGCATTGTGATGAATTATAAATATATCATAATGAATAATAAATACATGATAATGAATTATAAATACATATTGTATTACTTTACAGTACTCACTTTGCTTCTTGTAAAAATTTTATTTTCAGTTCCTGAGGAAGGTCTTCTTTACATGTTTTGACAGCAACAGCAGTTTTATCCTTCAGGGTGCCCTTATAGACTTCACCGAAATTTCCCTGAAAGTACAAAGGCACTCTTTGAGGTGTATGGCAGTAATGAATTTTTGGTCATATTCTTACGAACCCATCGACCTTAAACATACTGCCCAACACACCAACCAAGTGGGGGCTCTTAAGTCTACAGGAGAACTGGAAAAGAAAAGAAATGGGGTTAAAATTGAAAGGGAAAATAAGATAACAAGAAAACCCAAACTGTTGCTATACGTTTCATTCCACCTGCTTCCCTATATCCCTTAAACTCTATGTTTTATTAGATTAAAAATTATCCACTAGGGTTTAAAAATAAAGATCCTGAGGGGTATCTGCTCATACTGATCCAGACAATTACAAATCAGTTGGAGAAGAGTGAGAGAAGGAGAAGGGTGGCAGAGTCAGGGCATAGAGGGGCTTTCAGCAGCCTCTGCTACACCTAGGCTGTCAGTGTCTGAAGCACCGGGCAGGATGAGGTACTTACCCAACATCAACGTCTCTCATAATGAACAGATTTTTATTAAACATGAACTCCTAACCTTGCTCAATGATGGGGATCTATTTTCATAAAAAATGCTTTACTCACAGTATATTTATTTAAGAAGGAAAAGAACTTTAAAATCATTTTTCTCTTATAAATATGAGGCAAAACATTACAGAGGATCAAAAAGGCTGACACACTAGCACAGCAGCCATATTTGAGAATTCCCATCAATCTATGGATGCAGGTGTACTTTTTACATCGTTGTAGACACAATATACAAACAATACATTGTAGTAAACTTCTATTATAATTGAGCAAGAAGTAACTGGGTCTCTTATTGAGTTTTAGAGGTCTTGTATTAATGTAGCTATGAACTGGTAATTGGTTATTAATAAACAATTTAAAATTATTATTAAATATTTTAAAATAGCTCTAATAGCAGAAATCTTTCATTTTTCACTATTCAATCTAATACTCAACTCTTAAATATATAATAAATAATTTCATGCAAATAAATCTATTTTGAATTCTCAACATGGTAAACAGTTAACATAAATTAGAAAAAAGGAAAGCTGAACTTCACATCTGTTATTTACCCCATAATTGTCAGGTTAGTTATTGTGTCACAGATAGGACGAAGAGAGCATAGTATTAATATACATGACTACTTACTTGAATGACTCCACTGCCCTGATTTCGGTTTGTCTAAAACTAATTATTTCACTCATCAATAGAGTCTTCCTGGATGATTAATTTTTCAGTTACTAGGACCATCAACCTCCCTATGAACATTCAGATCCTACCTCCCCAATACTTTTTGTCTCCCTTCTTGCATCTCAAAATGCTGCACTGATCTGGGATCTCAAATTTCTCACCTAAATTCATTTCCTCCTCAGTCACTTCCCTCCAGTCCACCTAACAGCACTTTCAGGTTAATCCTGCCTACAGTAAACTTTGATTCTGCTACATTACTTTCATGGCCTCTGTCCAACTCCACATTATATAGTCCCTAACTGTGTTCTAAACTCAATAATCCCAAAATATGTGCCATTCCTTTTCTATGCACTCTTTTATGGAACCTCTCCCCTCCAATAAGAGAAAATGCTACCTAATCTTTAAGCCCACTTCCTAGGTCCTCTCCTTCATAATGACTTTCTTGATATTCCCAAAATGATGCCTCTCATTCCTGAATACCTATCACCCATTTGTATATTTTCAGTGGTTTCTGCTTTATATAAAAGGACTTGGTGCATACTGGGCATTTGAAAATTTTAAACATCCATTCAACAATCACTACCCAAAGGACTTCAATTCTATCAATGGTGGTCAAGGGGGAATCTCCAAACTGAAAAAAAGAGTATGTTATGTCAGCTCATCCCTTCCCCATCCAAAGAGGTCAAAAACAATCCTCACACCCTATTTTAGTGGGAATACAGACAAAAGCTATAAATACACATTTTCAAGAGCTTTTTGAAGACCTCTACATATGCACAGATTTCAAAAAAAAATTTACACCAAAAAACTCAATTTTAAATTCTATTTTCTACAAACTTTGTGAAATTCCTGATAACTTTCTTACTTTCTCTTGTATGGACTTCAAAAATTCTTTGACCCTATAGGAACCTCCAATCTCTAGATCCTATCATTTCTACTGTACATCATGGCCTCAATATTCTGTTCTTCCATGTCTGCTTTAAAATCTATGATCAATAGTTACAACTGCCCTACCATATACTCTCAATTTCTTTGCTCCTCTCTCAATTTGTAGAACTCCCTTGGCAAATCCACAATCCAGATGAAATCCCAAACCCTGCTTACTCTACATCAGTAAAGCTAAATATAGCTGCAGAAAAATCATAACCATGTTGACTTATTTAAATTTAATTCATGAATATAACCTTTAAATTTCACTAAACCATTCAAATTCCCATTCTTCTAATGACTTGTTCTCTTCTACTCTGTTTTTAAGTCTCCCACCCTCACAAACTTTTAAGTCTCCCACCCGACAAACTTGCTGCTAACTTCATTGAAAAAAGCTGAAGCAATCTAGAGAGATTTTGGAGACTCAGTCCTACATTTATCCACCTACCAATCTTCCCTGCTGTGATAAAAGTGAGCTATGGTGTTTCTTTCTATTAAAGTCAATCCTTCATTGTGATCTAAACCTCATTCCTTCTTAACTCAAGGAAGTTGTGCAAGCAATTCTCATCTCTTTCTCCCCAAATTTTTTTAAAGATTTTTTATTTGAGAGGTAGAGGTTACAGGCAGTAAGAGGTAGAGACAGAGAGAAAGGTCTTCCATCCACTGATTCGCTCCCCAAATGACTGCAACAGCCAGAGCTACACCGATCCGAAGCCAGGAGCCAGGAGTTTCTTTGGGGTCTCGCATATGGGTGCAGGGGCCCAAGGACTTGGGCCATCTTCTACTGCTTTCCCAGGCCACAGCAGAGAGCTGGATTGGAAGAGGAGCAGCCGGGATTAGACCTGGCACCCATATGGGATGCTGGCCTGCAGGCAGAGGATTAACCTACTGCGCCACAGTGCCAGCCCTTCCTCAATTTTTTTAAAAGATATTTAATTACTTGAAAGCCAGAGTTGGGGGTGGGGTATGTGGATCTTCCATCCACTGGTTCACTCTCAAGATGGCTGCAACAGCCAGGGATGGGCCAGGCTGAATCCAGGAGCAAGGAGCTTCTTCCAGGTCTCTGATGTGGGTAGCAAGAGCCCAAGAACTTGGGCCATCTTTTACTGCCTTTCCCAGGCCATTAGCAGGGAGCTGGATCAGAAGTGGCTATTCCTTCTCCTTAGAACTCTCTTTCTCAGATGTTCACATGGCTAAATCTCTCATCTCCAAGTCTTTATTCAAAATAACCATTTTGATAAAGCTTATTTAACTTAATTTATTATTAAAAATTGCAATGTCAACTAATAGCACTCACAACCTCTGTACACTTTTCATAGGACTTCACACCCTCTAACATGATAAAATTATACTATTTGTAATGTTGACTGTTGTTTGTCTTCCCCTGGGGGGTGAGATATAAGCTGTATAAGGCAAAGGATTTTTGTTTACTTGTTTAGTGATATGTTCTAAGTTCCTAAAAGAGTACCTAACACATAGTAGGCATTTGCCAAACATTGGATGAGTAAAATACTTATTTAAATGATTGTTCTTCCAAACAGCCTTACTGAGGAGCTAAATTCCTTTCAATGAGTCATACTTTTCAGAGTAAACTAAACCTAAAAATAATTAATCTTTTTCTTTAACTGAAAACAGTTTTTCCCTAGTACCAAAAATTCTATCCTCCTCAAACATATTCTCTTTATTTCTCCAAGAAATATTAATTAATATTATTAATTATTATTATTATTAATTAATTATGTTTTATGCAAAATAATTTGTCCCAATCACTACTACTGGTTTATTGACCTAGAGCAATGGAAAGAAGAAATATTTCCTTAAGAATGAGGAAAGCATCTGAGAGTAGATAAACAGAGCAACTAATGCTTTTAGCTTGAGGTTCTTTAGAGTCTACTTAATGAGTATTACCAGCTAATAAAAAAATCTGCTTTCCAACTGCAATTTGATCCTTCTACTTGGATTAAAATAATAAGTGATAAGAATCTTGCAATGCAGATTAGTTCAGAAGGAATTTACTTTCTCAACATATATCAGAAATAAAAAAAAAACAGGCAACAGTAGATAATACATCAAGTTTACATTTGAATAAAATGTATTTGAATTAAAGTTAATGTATTTGAATAAAATGTATTTGAATAAAAAGTTAATGACTATGCACTTATTTTTTACCTAGAATACTTATAACACAGGTTAACAATATGTCAAATTTGACCCAGCACCCTCCATCCCCTCTTTGCTTGATGATTTTGTTTGCATTGGTATCCTGGTCACAAGAGAAGGACTGGAATGCCCAGGTCACAAGGTCTGGGTAGTAATGGAATATCTGTGATATCTCTTCCTCTGCATATCTCATGCATGACTGTAGTCATTAGCTACTGATCCACATTCCCCTTTGGAGATGTTGGATGTTACAGCACTGGCCTGTCACCTCCCAGTTGCTAGCATCCTAACTAAACTTTCTCCTATTCATTTCCCCAAATACTTCTCTGAAGTCACTGACTTCTCTTGCAAGGAGTACCTGATTGCAGGTTTGGTAACATGCTGAGTGTTAGGTCTAGTACTTGTCACTCTGAAATTAAGTATGACAGCTTTCTCTAAATATCTGGATTTTATAGCATTTTGCACATCACAGCATGAAGCTAACCTCAATTCAAACTTTCAAAGGGAAATACCCCTAATTAAATTATTGACAAATTAATGTTTAGTCACTGGAACTCAACCATAGATAAAACAATTAAAAAAATTTATGAATAGTCCATTTGATTATCAAATGTCTGTCACTACTGTTAAACATATATACTTAAATATGGCATATGGTTCTGAATTTTCAACTAGATTAGAAGAAAAGAGACTTTTGTTAAACATAGTTGCCCTCTCTGACCACCAACAAACAAGCTAGTTTCAAACTGAATATTTATATATTTTTTATTTTTTATTTTATATATATATATATATTTTTTTTTTTTTTTGCCAGGCAGAGTTAGACAGTGAGAGAGAGAGACAGAGAGAAAGATCTTCCTTCAGTTGGTTCACCCCCCAAATGGCCACTACAGCCAGTACACTGTGCTGATCTGAAGCCAGGAGCCAGGTGCTTCCTCCTGATCTTCTATGCAGGTACAGGGCCCAAGTGCTTGGCCCATCCTCCACTGCCTTCCTGGGCCACAGCAGAGAGCTGGACTGGAAGAGGAGCAATTGGGACAAACCAGCACCCCGACTGGGACTAGAACCTGGGGTGGCAGCGCCGCAGGTGGAGGATTAGCCAAGTGAGCCACGGCGCTGGCCAACCGAATATTTATATTAAAACATGCTGTAGGCATTGACACAGCAGGTCAAGCTGCCACATGGGATTTGAGTACTGCCTCTACTTCTACCAAGAGGCAATTCATACCCTGTCATTCACATGGGAGACCAGGATAGAGTTCCTGGCTCCTGGCTTTGGCCTAACTCAGCATTGGCTATTATAAGCATTTTGGAAGCAAACAGCAGATAGAAAATATTTCTCTCTCTCTCAAGCTGAGTCCCTTGCCTTTACCAGGTTCTCTAGCTGTTCTTTATCTTGAAGTTCCTCTGTAGAGTACCTCATTAAATTAAGGGAGTGACACAAAGGAAAAGCCATGGCCAATATTCTGAATCAAAAATACTGGGACTGTTCCTATAGTTAACATCTCCATCCTAGCCTCTATTCTGAGAGCAGGAACTCAAGGGCCCTGATCAAACAAAGTAATACCCAATCTACCCTGACACACAGACAGACTGGAGTCTACCTTTAGCATTCCAAAAGAAACACATTGACTCTGACCAGGAAGCTACCCAAGGAAGGTCAGACACATGCTGTGGACCACCCAGAGGCCACACATGAACTAACATTGCACTGCTCATCCCCGACTTTAAACTATAAGATTCACTGCCTTTAATTCCTGGGGGACCTCCGGAAGTTGAGCTTTAGCCATCTGACTTCTTGTTCTGCATACACATATACATACTGCATAAACTCCTCCTTTTTTCCATTTTCCTGGTGTTAGCAATTGGCTGCTGTGTGTTAACTGAGCAGACCTAATATTGGGGGTTCTGTAGTGATTTCTCCAACCAGTTTTTGGGTTTTCTATAAATGTGTATGCCCTCTCTCACTCTCATTCTCTCTCATTTTGTGCCAATCTTTCAAATAAAAATAAGTAGACTGAAACATGTGTCATGTCCACATTATTTTTAGATTGAAATAATGTGTCCAATATTGTTATAAACAGGCTGGCGCCGCGGCTCACCAGGCTAATCCTCCGCCTGCGGCACCGGCACACCAGGTTCTAGTCCCGGTTGGGGCGCTGGATTCTGTCCCGGTTGCCCCTCTTCCAGTTCAGCTCTCTGCTGTGGTCAGGGAGCGCAGTGGAGGATGGCCCAAGTGCTTGGGCCCTGCACCCCATGGGAGACCAGGAGAAGCACCTGGCTCCTGGCTTTGGATCAGCGCAGTGCGCCAGTTGAGTGCACCAGCCGCAGCGGCCATTGGAGGGTGAACCAACAGAAAAGGAAGACCTTTCTCTCTGTCTCTCTCTCTCACTGTCCACTCTGCCTGTCAAAAAAATATTATTATAAACAGTAATTCTATATGAAATCTTGATCTCAAGGAGCACTATTCCTTTTTTTCTGAACCAACATATAACCAAAAATAATACAAGACTACTAGAAACTTATTTAAACTTTTATTACCTCGACAGTTTCTTTTCAAATCTCAGCACAACAGTATTGGCTTTGCTAGGCTGTAATAAAATCCTTTTGGCCATTAGTCCTTCCAGGGGAAAACACACGTATATTATTTTTAAAAGTCAAGAATTATTCTTAAACTTTTCAAAAGATTTTCACATATCTATTTCAGTAAACACTACACAGTATTAACAACAGGTGTGGTATTGTGTTATGCTAGGTTAATGTATAATGTATCTTGCTGTGTGTTAGAATATAAGAAAATCTTTGAAGGAAAAAATCTGCCAAAAGCACAAATAGAAAGGGCTTGATTACTGAGCTCAGTGGATTGCATACCTTTCCCAGTAATTCTCCCAATGTGACATCTTCATGATTGAGAATCCATTTCTTATCCTGCAGAAAAAAAAATCCTCATTTAGTTCAAAAGTGCACTTCCTGTACGAGGCATCTGAGACAGCAGGAAATAGACCTAAAGGGATATTTCATTCAGACCATTTAATCAACAGCACACTGGAAGTTATAAGCTCGAGATGCTGTAAAATACACTTAAGTAATGCTATTACACAATAAGATATTAAAGATCTATGTTACAGCATATTTCCATCAGAAATCTCAGCCCTCAACAAGAGGCTAATTCTAACAAGAACACAGCATGTACTTCACACCTACCACAAAGATCAGGCTATGCTATTTTTGTCATTTCAAAAAAAAGTTCTGTCATAAGTTCGTGAGGGAGTTTCGCTCTGTAAGACAAAATTTCCCATTCTAATTTGATCTTACAGGATACTTTTCCACCTAAACCATATTACTAAGAGCTAATTTTTCCACATATAAAATGTCCAAGAATTAGAGTTGGCTATGACATCTGTGTAGTTCCATATCTTTCCCAGGTAATTTCCTGTAGCATAATAAAGCAACACACGTCAACTATGGTATCACTAGGATGCACAGACCAGGGATGCAAGCCTGCCATTGCGAAAGAGCATCCATACGCTGATCTCAAGTACTTATTATTATTTAGGAAACACTTCAGCATGTGAAAAAGAAAATATCTGCTATTAAATGACACAACAGTATAATGCTAGGAAGACAAATACATTTGCTTTTTAGGAAGGGAGGAAGTGAAGTAAATGAAGTAAGGAAAGAGGATGGGGAAGGAAAGAAAGAAAGGAAGAAGATCAGAAAAAAGGAGAGGGGTACAGAAAAGGAAAGGAGAAAGGACAAAGGGAGGATCCTAGAGTGAAACACTTCATTTTTGTTTTCTTTCTTTTAGGCTTTTATTTGTTAATGTTAAAGTGACACAGACTGAAATGTAATTACAAGTTATAATATGAATTAAACAATTAGTCACGCATCCTCAAGTAAAGGTCCACTGTGTACCCGTCGTTTAATAATACCTTGGCCAGTCACTTAAAGTATTTGCCTGCTGAAACCCACCATCTCTGATAAACAGGTGAGGGAAGGGGCAACACTTATTTCTAAAATGCAGATGTTTACATTCATAATATTTCTGAGTGTAAAGTTAAAGCTATAAAGGTTCTAGAACAAACCCAGAAAAATATCTTCATGATAAGCAAAAGTTTCTTAGGCACAAAAGGGACTAAGTAAAAGAAGAAAATGAACATTAGATCTCAAAATCATCATTTAAAAATGAGAAAGCAAGTTACAATCTGAGAGAACATTTCTGCAAAACATACATCTGATAACAGATGTGTATAAAGAATATAAAGAGAACTCCTACTTCAACAACAAAACAAACAACCCCATATTAAGAAATTGTATAAAAAGCATAACAAAGGAAATAGATAAACAGTCAAAAGCCCATCAAAAGATGCTTACTCTTCCTGGTCATCAGTGACCTAACAAATACAAGCCAGAATGACACAGCACTTCACACCTACCAGAATTCTAAAACTGAAATGATCACTAATAGAGTGGAGCAACTGAAGTCTTTATATGCTGCTAGTGAAGATGAAAATGGTATAGGCATATTAGAAAACAGTTTGGAAGTTTCTTACAAAGTTCAACACATCCTACAACTCGTAAATTACTTTTTTTTTTTTTGACAGGCAGAGTGGACAGTGAGAGAAAGAAAGGTCTTCCTTTGCCGTTGGTTCACCCTCCAATGGCCACCGCGGCCGGAGCGCTGCGGCCGGCGCACCACGCTGATCCGAAGGCAGGAGCCAGGTACTTCTCCTGGTCTCCCATGGGGTGCAGGGCCCAAGCACTTGGGCCATCCTCCACTGCGCTCCCGGGTCACAGCAGAGAGCTGGCCTGGAAGAGGGGCAACTGGGACAGAATCCGGTGCCCCGACCGGGACTAGAACCTGGGGTGCCAGTGCCGCAGGCAGAGGATTAGCCTAGTGAGCTGCGGCGCCGGCCGTAAATTACTTTCCTTTGTGTTAACACAAGAGAAATGAAAACAAGTCTACAAAAAGACTCTTCCGTATCAGAAAAAGAAATTTGTCGCAGCACCCTCCCAACAAGAGTTGCCTCTAAAACTCCTTCCATGAACCCCAATAGGAAATCACTGTTGCAGCAAAGCTACAGGTCACAAGGAGTGCTGGAAGAAAACATCCAATACAGCTGCTCACTATTACCTGTGATGACCTAGAACCTATTATTTATGTTATAATAAAATTTCCGTGCTTTACACTGGACTCCCATCATGCAGCTGATGACACGAAGCTTCTAGGACTTTCTAAAAAGGTCAGAAAATGAGCAGTGACCAAATTCCTGGAAATTCCCAACCTTTCCTGGAAAACTCTCCCAAAGTACCTTTGCCTCCAGATCGCATAGAGGGATGACCTTGAAACTCACGAACTGTACCTCATCCTGGAGCATGACCACACTCCATCCAAGTATGTGCTTTTCACTTTGCTAATAAATCTTACTCCCTTGCTAAACTTTTTCTATCTATATTTTGGTTTTTAGTTCTTTCTTGTGTCAGAAACAAGAACCTGGACTCTCCAGGCTCCCAACAACAATGAAGCAACTATATTAGCAAAACAAAACAAAACAAAACAAAACAAAACAAAAAAAAAACCTGCAACTGTATGAAGCAATTCTATTTATAAAAGCCAAAAACTAAGAACAACTCCAGTGTCCATCAAATGGAAAACTCATAAACTAATTTGATATATTCAGACAACCAAAGACTACTCAGCAAAAGAGAAACTTACCACAGATCACAAATAGATTATACACCCACACACATATGCATCTGTGGTGTTTTTTTTTTTTTCTTTTTTGGACAGTCAGAGTTAGACAGTGAGAGAGAGGGAAAGAGACAGAAAGGTCTTCCTTTCCATTGGTTCACTCCCCAAATGGCCGCTATGGCCAGCGTGCTGCGTCGATCCTAAGCCAGGAGTCAGGTGCTTCCTCCTGGTCTCCCATGCAGGTGCAGGGCCCAAGCACTTGGGCCATCCTCCACTGCCTTCCCAGGCCACAGCAGAGAGCTGGACTGGAAGACGAGCAACCAGGACAGAATCCGCTGCCCTAACTGGGACAAGAACCCGGGGTGCCGGCGCCGCAGGCGGAGGATTAGCCAAGTGAGCCGTGGCGCCGGCCACATCTGTGTTTTTATATATGCATATATACACATCTATATGTTTATATATGTATTTATATATGTTTTTATATATACATATATGTTTATATATATATATTAACACTAGAGCATTTGCAGAACACTTTGGTGTACTCTTAAGGACAGACTGTGCACACATAAATACAGAATCCTTGACTTAACAGTCTAGATAAGGCCAACTGATTGATAATGCTAGAAACCAAAGGTTACTATGGAGGACGGACTGCATGAAAGATAGAGGGAACTTCTAGGGGTTATGAAACTGTTCCACCTCTTGACAGCTCATTGAATTATACATGGAAAAACTGTGAAATTTCACTGTACACAAATTATATACCCATACTGTTAATTTTTTAAAGGAAAAATAAAATAGCAATACTCCCCCCTTCAATAGCACTTTTAGGCTTAATTCTACCCTCCTGTCCACAGATATTGTCAAATGTTGGTCTTCAAAGAATGTAGTCTGGCAAGCAGGAGTGTTACTTTAAAGCTATATAACTGTTTTTTAGAGAGCTCTTCCACTTTAGTCAGTGCTAAACCAAGTGGTTCACACAAACCTTTCCACTGTATATACTGTTGGAAAAAAAGGAAAGATGTAAAAATAAAAGTACAACCAAGTAAATAAAACACCAAACATTTGTATGCTTGAAGACACTAGGGAAAAGTACTGAAATAGTGAAGAAATGAAAGGCTAAATTTAGGAGAACAAAGAAAACTAATCAAGGATTTATAGGCCATCATCACCCTTAACATGAATTGTGAAACCACCAACCAGTTCTGCTAAAGCAAAAAGATAAAACCAATAGTTTTCAAGGCTTGCCAAGGAGATGAGGTTCTGATAAAATGCCTTAGTCTTTAATTAAGATCTTCAAAGATACTAAACTGTGGTAGAAAAGGTAACCTGGAAATGAAGGAAACTAAGCCTACTTTCTACCGCTCTCCATCAGACTTGACTGAAATTAGGAACTGGTGAATTAAATCTATGGTCTAAATGAGCTTACTGCTTATAATGGTCAAGAAGGGTTTTCACATTTTTTTTAACAGTTGAAAATCAAAAGAATAATTTGTGACATATTAGGAGTACATGAATTTCAAACTTCAGTGTCCGGGGATAACAGATCAACACATCTATAGATTACCAGAAATTATCCAATCTAAGATACACAGAGGAAAAAAAAGTGGAAAATATAAACAAATTTCAAGGACCTATGGGAATAATATTGAGAGATCTAACACTTATCATCAAAGTTATGGAAGGAAAGTAGAATGAGCACCGTACAAGGAAAAATGTTTAAAGAAATACTGTCTAAAACCCCCATAATTCATAACTACTGATTGAAGAAACTCAACCAATTCCAAAAAAGAGAAAAGCCATAGAAATCAATGTCTACACACAATGTAATCACAAAGTTAAAACTAAAACAATGAAAAGTTTTAAAAGCAGCTAGAGGGAATGACCCATCATTTACAGGGAAACGACTGTTGTAGCTACATGACTAGCAACCATGAAAGCAAGTAGAAATAAAATATTTTGGGAGTGTGTAAAGAATGGAATTGTCAGTTCAGATTTCTATATCCAAAACAGTATCCTTTAAAAATGAATTTTCTGGCCGGCACCGCGGCTCAGTAGGCCAATCCTCCGCCTTGTGGTGCCGGCACACCGGGTTCTAGTCCCGGTCGGGGTGCCAGATTCTTTCCCAGTTGCTCCTCTTCCAGGCCAGCTCTCTGCTGTGACCCGGGAGTGCAGTGGAGGATGGCCCAAGTGCTTGGGCCCTGCACCCCATAGGAGACCAGGAGAAGTACCT